GATTATATATATATATTCTGATTATATATATATATCATCAAAATCCTCAAAGCAGTGGGAGAGGGAAGAGTGGAGGGTACTGTGTAGTTGGTGATAAGAAATATTTATAGAAACAACCAAAAAGAAGAGAGTGGAGCAATACCTATAAAGGGCTGAAAGAAAAATATTGTCAACAGAAAAATATTTTTGGATGAAACAGACTTTTTCCAATATATAAAAGTTGAAGATACTCATCCCTAAAAAGATGCACTACAAGAAACATGAAAAGTATCCACCCCCCAGAAGAATGATGGCACCAAAAGGAAATGTAATACTATTAAAGAGAAGGAAGATCACTAGAAACAGTAACTAGATGGGTAAACATAAAATCATTTTTTCTCATTTTAAAATGACACTAAAAATAAGAAAAATAATAACATGATGAAAAAGTTCTGGAAATGAATAGTGGGGACGGTTGCACAACACTGTAAATATATTTAATGCCACTGAATTGTACACTTAATGAGGGCTAAAATGGTAAATTTTATGTTATGTATATTTTACCACAATAAGAAAAAAAGAATAGTAAGATATTGTAGGGTTTATAATGAACATAGAAACAAAATATATGGAACAACAGCACATGGGCAGGGAAAGCAGAAATACTGTAAGGTTCTCACATGAACCTTACAGTATTTCTGTAAAGTGGTATAATATGAGCCCAAAATACACTTTGGTAAGACATATACTATAAATTCTAAAGCAACCACTTTAAAACAAAGGAGGTATAACTAATAAACCAGCAAAGAGATAAAATGGAACAATAAAAAAATACTCTAAAGTACTGACCCAAGAGAAATGAAAATATACACACACACACACACACACACACACACACACACACACACAAAACCTTAAACATGAAAGTTTCTAGCTTTATTTCTAAGAGCCAACACACTAAAGATGAAAAAACAAAATTATCTCAAGAGATGCAGAAAAAGCACTGGGCAAAATTTGATACTATTTATGACGGAAACTCTCAGCAAACTAGAAATAAAAGGAAACTTCTTTAATCTAACAAAGACTATCTACAAAAAAATGTAAAGCTAACATCATACTTAAAGGTAAAAGAGTGAATGATGTCTTCCTAAAATAAGGAACAAGGCAAGGAAGTCTGCTCTTAACACTTCTATTCAACACCGTACTAGAGGTTTTAGCCATGGCAATAAAACAAAGAAAAGATAGGGAAAACAGATTGGAAAGCAAAAAATAAAATGTCCCTATCACCAACGACACAATCGCCTATGTCAAAAATCTTCTGGAATCTACCAGAAAAGCTCCTAGAACTAATAAATGAGTTTAATAAGGTGGCAGGACACAAGATCAATATACAAAAGCCAACTGTATTCACTGGGAAAGATATACAAAGAGAACAGGTAAACATGAAAAAATGTTCATCATTTGCCATTAGGGAAATACAAATTAAAATCACGATATCACTCCGCATCTATCAGAATGGCTAAAAAAGTTTTTTTAAAACGAAAAACAATAAGAACACCAAATCTCGGCAAAAAGGCACAAAACCTAGTCCTTTTCCCATTTGCCCCAAGAATACACACTCGCAGTGCTTGCAGCTACAGAGTCCCGAAGATAACTTGTGGATTACAGTGCTAACCTTATCCCCAAAGTTTGCCATGGAATATCTCATTTTTATTATTATTTTCGCATCGCTCTAGTATATCAGCAGTCTTTGGAAACAAATGACATCATTCTATTTACAGCATTCTGATGGCTAAAAATGTCAAATCCTAGAAAACATAGCATCCCTACACATTGTTAAATGAATGCTACACTTTTTTTTCTAAACGGGAAAAGGGCTGATCAGTGGTCCCCAACCTTTTTGGCACCAGGGATCAGTGCTCCTATGAGAATCTAATATCTGATGGGTGATCTGAGGTAGAGCTGAGGAATGCTAGAGCTGGGGAGCAGCTGCAAATACAGATGAAGCTTCACTGGCTCACCCGCCCGCCACTCACCTCCTGCTGAGGCCCAGGTTCCTAACAGGCCACAAACTGATACCCGACTGCAGCCTGGAGGTTGGGGACCCCTGGGCTAAATAACCTACACATTGTTGATGGGAATATAAAGTGGTACAGCCATTCTGAAAATAATTTGGTAGTTTCTTTAAAAACTAAACATGCACATAACTTAGGGCCCAGCAATTGCACTGCATATCCCAGAGAAATGAAAGTATGTTCACGCAAAAACTTGTACAAAAATGTATACAGTTTTACTTGTAAAAGTCCCCAAAGTGAAAACAACTAAAATATACTTCAACATTAGAAGAGTCAACAAAATGTGGTAATCTATAATACCAAAACTGTGGTAATCTACAGGTAATCCATAGAATACTATCGAGCAATAAAAAAGGAATAAACCATTGATACATGTGATAACTTGGAGAATTATGTTGAGTGAAAAAGCCAATGCTAAAAGTTTACATATTATATGAATCCATTAATATAACATCCTTGAAATAAAAAAATTATAAAAATGAAGAACAGATCAGTAGCTGCCAGAGGTTGGGGAAAAGAAGGGAAAGAAGGCTATGGCTATAAAAGGAGAGGCACGAGAGATCTTTGTGATGTAACTGTTCTGCATCATGATTGTGGCAGTTGTCACATTAATCTACACATGATAAAATTTGATAAATATACACACAAATACAAATCAGTACATGTAAAACTAGCAAAATCTAAATAAGATGATATTGATGTCAATTTCCTCATTGTGATACTGTACTAGAGTTATGCAAGACATATACTGTAA